TGTCCGGGCGAGGGAAAGTAAAAAAGAAGAGAAAAAAAAAAAAAAAAAAAAGAAAAAAGGAAAAAGGAAAAAGAGGAAGAGGCAATACTTTCTATGATATGTTGCAATCTAGTGATTCGAGGAATCTGGAATTTCTACTTACTCAAGATAACGAACTATCTATCTGCATATCAGTGTCTAGTAATGACTCGCGGAATGATGTACTTGTTGATTATATATAACTTAGAATGCTATTTCACAGTCTCAACTGAACATTCTAAGAGACACCACTGTAACAGCCATGAGTGTTTGAACAATGGTCTTCCATGTATCTGATATAAAAGCTTCACCAAAGCAATGTAACTCCTGCTTGAGCATTCAAGGAGCCATGACCTCTCAGTGATGTCAGGGAGTCTTTTTATCTATGGCCAGAGTTGATTTATCTACAATACATTAAACAAATATGCAAGCATGCAGGAAACATAGTACATATGCACCCGGGAATCGTTAGTGAATTCATTCCATCATTATACGCTAGTAACATTACAATCTTGCGCCGTGCTCTACAGCAAACCCAAGTTCTTAGCCTCAATGTCCACGATCTCAGGAATAAGCTCCTTCAGACTAGGCTTGCTCGGGGACCATCCAAACAACTTTCTGGCACGGAGTGCATGGCCTCTAGAGCTGCTTCCCCAAGCATACAGCCCGAACTCATTCAGCTCTGAGACTTGCGCATCCGACAGAGATTCAACATCAGGAGATGGAATCAGCTTCTTCTCATAGGCGACTCTAGCCACTTCACGCTGGATGTCGCCCCAGACAAATTGTCCGTTCTCGGCAAGATAGTAGCCCTTATCGTTCCAGGTGGCCTTTCCACCACCGGCGGCGGCAGCGTCTGCCAAAGCACCATATACGTCACTGAGGTCCTGGACGTGGACCTGATGCCAGATGTTCTTGCCTTCGCCAACCAAGAATCCCTTCTTTCTCTTCAACACAGCAGCGGCAAGCCAGTATGCCTGAACGCTCTTCTGGTTGCCCGGTCCACGGCCGGGACCGTAGATAGTGGGAGGGCAGACGATGGCGGTCTTCACACTTTCGGGGTTCCGCTGGCTAGCCTCGATGATGATCTTGTCAACATTGCGGTGGAAAGAGTCGTCGGGGAGGTTAAGGAGTTCATCAACGCCTTCCCAGTCGTTGTGCTCCTTAGAACGGTAAAAGCCCCAGGTGTTGGTGCGGAAATCCTCAACAGTCAGAATTCCAGTGCCAGAGGTGTGGATCACCCACACCGGCTTCTCAGAAGTGTGGTGGGCGGCACCCTTTGCGATTGCCTCGGCCGACGCTACATGGTCACAGTCGGCACAATCTAAGTGGCACTGTTAGTTACACAAGGTCGCACACAACGCATTTAATGCCGAAAATTGTATAGATAGGTACTCACGGAGTACGATATCGGCGTTCTTGACCTCCTCCTCAATAATGTCGGACGAGTCAAGATCTCCCAGCACGATCCTCACATTGGGGTATTTGCTAGTAACCTGGGCTGCCTTGTCCTTGCTCCGAACCAAAAGGGAGTATTTCCAGTCGGGGTGTGCTTGGTGCACGGCGTAAAAGACATCTCCGCCGATGTAACCGGTGGCACCGGTGCTAGAGACAAATTAGACACACGTTAGCAATCGATTTGATGCTAGTTACTGGAGATAAATTTACCTACAGGAAGACCTTAGGGGGAGCCATTCTCTTAAAGGTACGTAAGTGTTGCTCACAAGCTTTCAAACGAGGTCAATACAATGAGGGGTAACAAGGAGGGGCATCTTGAGGTTTTTATAGCTTTGCTAACAATACGTAATAACTACAGCTCAAGCTGTCGGGATGCTTTGAAATCAAAAAAGTGGAATGATGGATCCACAGGGTTCAAGACGTACAATCAGAATTAAGCGCAGGGTGCCAGGGTGGGGTTGAAATGGGGATTTGAGGTCATGGACCCAAACTTGGACTACGACAAAGTTCCACATGGAGTTCGGGAAAAGTAAAGGAAGGTCGATTCGGCATTCACTACCACTTCGGGAATCGTGCATCTAAGTATAAATACGATGTTCCAACAACACAGTATACCTACGTGTTCATGATCATAATCAATGCGTGTGAAACTAGGCAGGCTTCCGATCTTCATTCAAACCTGAGTTCCCATATATAAGGCAAGAGTGTCCTTTAGAGACTGCAACACTAAACTGTACAAAGTTTAGTCAGCTATAAGAAGAGAGTAACCCTTTAACAATTGAAATGAGATTGTGATCCTCTATATCCTAGGATTCGAATAATATAAATATAAGATGACATCTTGTCACTTACCTACTCCACCACAATATAGTCAGTGAATATATGTCATTTTATGGGGCTCGAGGGTTCTATTTCGTTTTGAATCATGTTCCATAATCCTAGGTAGTGAATCTGATTCGATAGCGCTATCATTATAACAAACAATATGAAGGCATTCGATTTCAAGAAATATGACTAAAACCACGGCCATTAGCGCTTACATCTCCCAGCCCTACTAAGACAGTATAGAAGCTTATCCTCACCCCTAGTAGGTTAGCAACAGGAGTCTGACTATAGCTGCGAGATAACGTGTTGTAGAATTGCACTAAGGCTCGCTCTCTTTTGAATCTCGCAAAAGACTGTCACAGCTCCTTCGCCCTACTACTTAGGGCTTATCACAGGGTAACAGATTCACAAAGCTAATTACACAAGGCCCCTTCAAACATATACCTCGCAATATGACCATTTCCGATATCCCCGTGGAGGCCCGTTTCTACAACTCTAAACAGAAATCGTCGAAGGTTGCACGCTGCGTTATATTGAAACACTATGGTATCAAAACCACCTCCCTCTCTGACTTGCAAAACGCTTTGGCCACAAATTTAGCTTAGTATGTAAGTAGGAGTTGCGAGAGTTCTATGCAAGTGGGTCGCTCATAGGCTCGGCTTTCAGTGTCAGCAGTCCGTTCTGCAGTCCTAATGGAGCTGTAGTCATCTATGCCACCTCCTTCTCTGATTACTTGGGTATTCTTTCAAGTCACTCAGGTATCAGTCATAAATCGTAACTCAAGCCCAGGAAAATTAGTGCACATCGGATAGTTGACAGCACTGCTGAACTACTCGACTCGAATCCCTATCAGGTCACAAAGGTCTAGAAGTTAAACAGAGGATAGCGAAGGCTTCAGATCCCACGCTTTGACACCGCTGACGACTCATGGGCTGATGCCTTTGAAACTAATATGCTGACACTAAAAGCGATGGTTCGCAGTCCCTTCTTCTTTTTCGAGGCTCAAGGGCGTCGGTACTCATTAGATTTTACTGAGTGATTATCAAGCCATGTCTGATATCTGATACGTTACTACAGGGAGAGAGGGTATTACTGCTATAATCTTATAAATAATTAGGAACCCTTTAATTGAGTATCCACTAGTAAACTATCTACCTAGATTAATTAATATTAAGACTTTAGATAGGAGGAAGAAAAGAGCTGAGAAATGAACAATCTACATAGTTTTTAATAAAGGACTAAGCCTGGATTTTAGAGTGATCAATATACTAATATTTTATAAGTACTTATAAACTGAAATAGTAATATGCTGTTTTCTTTCCGGAAATTAATCTATTCTGCTCCCTCCCTTGACTCTTCCTTGTTCGACAATCTATGGACGGTATATAACCTTTAATCTACAACACCCTACATTAATATAAAGTGGCGCATTGCTGATGGCGCCTCAACTAATGCCTAGAATAACTGAATAGCAAGGGTTTACTAATGACTGCTAAGATAAGCTTTATTCTTCAAGTGTGTTACTACATAAGTCGCTTATCAAGAGTAACAATTCAATATATACGGCTAAGCTAACTATAAGTCAAGGGAATAATAAAGCAGATTTTTATACTACCTTATAACTAACAACAGCGAACCCCTCCTCTCTCTTAAGCTGCTGACAGGCTACCTAGTACCTACCCATAAGTCACTCCTAAATAAATTATATATGACTGACAACTGATTTATAATACAATAGCAAAATAACGGCGAAGCAATAGCGAATTGGCCACAAAACACTCACAGGTAGTAGTTTCACCCAAATAAGACGTCCACTTTGGACAACTAGTGGTGTTGATTGCATGGCCAAGCCTCCTGAATTAAATGTTAATCCTGGACCCACACTCTTATCCAAACGGCGACTGGTAAACCCAGTTGTAAGTTAATAGAACAACGTCTCCATACAAGACTGCGCGTCTATAGTATCCCATGTTATTATATTATATCTAAAATTATCTACTAGACATATTCATCAGGTATCTATGGCGGATAATGGTCCCGATGTAAGGGGTAATTATCCTGCACCTAACTTAATCTCCCGTGAAGTAACTGATACCGTTTAAAATAGGTAGTTCTTCGTAGAAATATGATCTTTACTCTCTAACATTCAGATACAAGAAAGCTAGCGAGGAGTATCTATTGAAGTGGCAAATACGTCTTCATACACTGGGCATGATAAATGGAAAAAAAAAAAAAAAAATGCAGCTTAGTTTAGCCTCACACCAAGATTGTTTGGGGTAGCTTTGAAAAATATTAGATTGTATCTAATCTGACTGTTGGCGGCAGAGACCAAACGAAATAGAAGGTAAAGGGTAGCGTGGATGGTATCTTAGTGTGGCTAAGGGGTGTATAAATAGTCGCTTCATCTGATAAACCATTCTTAAAATTTGCCAAGATAATGTGACTGTCTATCGTAGAAGAGACTCTGGCTAACTAAACGAATAGTTCTATCATATCCGACAGTCAACACAGGAATGAGATACTACTATTTTATTCAATGAAATACCATCTAAAAGAATACCTCCTGGTGCCTACAATAAATTCATGATTTTGTATCCATAGTCAAACCCCTGATCTCATCAGTACTTAGCTGTATGTGTACCCACACACCAGTGTGAGTCATAAACAATCTTATCTGACCAAGTATCAAGTCCATTCTGATTTTCATAAAGTCTGTAAGTTCCCGGACATAGTACCCATATAAATACCATTCACCACTGGCTCGGCAGCAAGGACGAAATCTCATGTGCTAATATATCCCTGATCTAGGTAGCAGCTAAAAGCTCGCTGTTGGAGCCTGTTGAATATCTGATTGTCTTACTTGAGCAGACCCCCATGTAGATCCAATTACCTCATAGTCGGGAGAAGTGGTGAAGAAAATTTTCTCCACCGGCATCGGCCTCACAGTCCATTCATTCTCGCCTTCCCATGAAGTGGTAAAGTCAAGGCGGGCGCCTCATGTCGAGGGTAGAAAGTAAAGCAGAAGTCGTCGGGTCTTCGTTCGGAAAATTCTTTGTAAACAGCCTTGATATTCGATCCTTGAAATCAATGTAGATTTCGTAGAGTCTGTACTATCTATCACCCCATTCTACAACTAGGGTATAACACGTATGTCGTTCGGCTGAGCATACTCCGTTATCCTCCGTAGATATATGCAGCACGAGTCATTGGCTTACCCCACAATTCAGCTGAGATGCGAGAGCCATATCCGCATTTCCCCACAATATCTCAAATTATTCGCCAAACAAATCGGATTAAGTTTGATCTACCTTTCACTTAAGTCGCTTCAGGTCAGCCACTATATAGAAAACCACGCTAGCACTGGGACAGAGGTTAGTAGAATGGCGTACCAGAATACATGCATCCTATTATATCTAAGGAAATTTTTGTGCAGTGTGGCGAGCTGATAAAGTGGGGACACGTACGTTCATATCATGGAAAAGCCTCAGATTTCGGTAGTATGGCCGTAACTGAATACTGGGGGTGTGCAATCTTGATACTATCAGAATCAATTAGGGTAATACATATACGCGTGATCTTAAGAAGCAATTAGTATATCAAGGATACTGGTATACAGCTTTGTATAATTCATAACATTACCATCAACTATCCCTTTGGTTCTGTAATGCTCCTTGTGTTGTGTGACTTATTAGACCGCATTCGACTACTATAGTAGCGTGCGAAAAGATCATGCTGACCTCTGTCAGAGCAGCTGAATATCATTTCCTTTTTCACGAAGCTTGCCAGTTCTATACGAGATACAACAGGACCACCCTTGGTTCAGTGGTTCCGATAGACCCACTGACGATCTATAAGCGATCTTTTCGCGCCATATCTCAGTCGATGATGGGAGTGGGGGGGCTATAAAATGGCGCACTGAAGATGCACGACCGCTGAAAGGGAAGAGGCAGTGCTAAGATGATGCTGAACCAGGCCAATCAAAGCGTATATTGAATAAAAAATTCGGTGACTGGAATGATATTATTTTTTGGCTTTGAGGCTGGTTGACCTCCGGGGCGACCTGAGCGGAACTGAATAGGTTAAATTAATCAGTCAGTCAATCAGGTCAACTCATATTCAGATAGCTATGTTTAAGAACTCCAATTCTATTATAATTTGTTTTATACAATGATAATACTACCAATAGCTAGGGTGATTGAGGGGCTGATATTGAGAGATGAGGATATGCCAGTGGCCCCTCATTCTGACCCGCCAACGTTAGTCGCAGCGATAGTCATAGGTATGCTGAATGACACGCCAATCTGAGGGATAAGTTAGTATTATCTGGAACCGATGATTTGCTAGTATGAATTATAGCCATTGGCAATCCTCAGGCGTCCTGTAGTGGGTCTATTTGATTGAAGCCCGCTCTAACAGCTGAAACTTAGCGGATAGAGGACTGTGACATACAGTTCAGCTGAGTGCATCTGAGGCTAAAGAACGTATCGTGGACAGCTCTCATCGTATCAAATAATTTCTCGCGGGGCTCAGATGGCGTCACAAAGCCAGCTGCACAAGAGTCACGACACCAGCTGAGAGGAGGATAAAGGTATATAAGGGCTCTTCATGTCCTGTAAGTTTCTCTTCATTCCCAAGCAGAATTACTATTGCTTTCGCTTTCATCTCATACTACATACCAGCGCCCAATCTATCCATCATGTCTTTCGCCAACTCTTCCCAAAACATCAGAATCGAGCAGCGGGGAAATGAAACTTGGCTCCTTTGCGAAGCTCAGACAGAGGATGGTTCATGGCAGGATACCCAGATCAACCTCGATGAAGTGATCGGCAACGACGATGGTTAGTGTCCAACTCTTCACATCTGATGAAGAAGAATACTTACAATCTGGATAGGCTGGTTTAGCCGTGAAACCACTGGATTTACCCAGAGCGCCGAAGGCATCGACTTTCACGAGAGTGACGGCGAGCCTTGGCTTACGGCCGACCTGCCAATGCGTGATGGTGGTTACCGTCAACGTCAGGGCATCAACCTCGGCCTCCACATTACCAACGTGAACGGTAACCTGGAGTGGTATGTAAGTATTAGGAATCATCATCCGGGTTCTTGGGACAGTCGCTGATTTCTGTTCAGGGACAATAAATGTGTCAACCTCGATGCATACAGGTATGCGAGATTTTTAGATGAATTGAATGAATGGTCTTTAGAATGGGCATCCCACTGTAGCTCAATGCTAAGTTTATCAAGTCATTGAAACGTAGTAACCGCAGCTGAAGTGTAGCATCAGTAATGCAGTTGTGTGTAGATTCGATACTACTGTAATATTGCGGAAGAGAGTCTAGTCCGAAAGTGACTAATTCCGAGGATGAACTGGTCAGAATCAGTCTCGAAGAATGAAAATGCTCCCAAGCAGCCACCTGACGACGGGCCACTGACCCCAACGAATAACTGAGCTTGCCCCTCTGGCTCTATAGGACCTAGTATCAAGACAATGCCCCTCTATCAGGCATGCATGCCTGACACCTATCATAGACCGTCGAGCCATCCGAAACCCCCCCTCCCCCCCAAGCCATAGTCCTCAAGCATCTAGATGACTACATTCTTACGGTAACACCTCTACTTCTCAGAGGTTTCGTGGTAATGAGATAAGATGTATAGCAGAAGGTGTTCTGGAGGCGTTAAAAGGTTCATATAAACACAATCTTGTTAATACAGGTATTCGCATGTGCCTGTATTGAAAGTATTAATCATCATCTAAATTGCAGATATCAAGCCCGACAATATCCTCGCAAAACATGACCACTGGCAGGGAGTATATGCTCTAAAGAAATCCAAATAGTAGACCGTGGAAGTATGGTTTCTGCCAATTCAGCTTATACTAAACATGTCGACTTGATTGGAACACCTATATAGAGGAGCCATGAAGTATATCTTTGACTTGACTGGGAGCTACAGTAAGGGGTATATGGTTGTTTAGCACAATCCTTGACAAAGGCCAATTATATCTAAGGTGGGGCATAGAGATGCCCCAAACTTTGTGTTGTAGAAAGTGAGCAAGTTCGAAAAGTATCATACAGCCTTGGAGAAGATGGAGAATTAAAAAAAAA